TACCTCCAAATCTTGTAAAGTTGTTGAAGGACAATAGATTGTGAGTTGTTCATTCTCAACCAATCTTATCTTCCTAAGAATCCCTTCTTACCACTACATGTGCTTGAGTTTCCTTTGAGACTTTGTTGTAATGTGCTCTCGGTTCTTGTATCTCCTGTATTGTGAATCTTACACAGTTTTCTCTGCCCCCCTCAATTCCTCAATATGCTAAAGCTTGTGTTGGGGTGGGTGTTGTCGACATCACTGCCCAGTCCCCTAGAACCCAAGACTGGTCTACTTTTAACAGTTGGATCCACTCTTACGGTACGAATGTACAGACTTTCTGGAGGCTCCTATGTAGATTATGACAGCCCTTGTGGATCTTTCCAAGGCCAGACTCCATTTTCCACTTTTTTTTTTTTTTTTTTTTTAGACCATTTCTCGATTCATGTGTGTCATCCTTGCTCGGGCTATGCTAATTTTCTCTGTATCATTCCAATCTTAACGGATGTCCCGAAGGACCAATTTCCACTCTTTAAAAAATCGGAAAAAAAAAGAAAAAAAAAAAAAGAAAAAAGAAGTGTCACTCCGGTTCCTATTCCAACGGCAAGTCAGAAGGGAATACAATACACACTCACTCATGCTCCTCCACCTTATGGTCTGAAGGCCCGAAGGATAGCATTGATTACTTCCCACTCACGCTCCTCCACCTTATGGTATGAAGGCCCGAAGGATGGCATTGATTACTTCCCTTATGGTCTGAAGGCCCGAAAGTCTTGGGATTGATTCTATCATATGTGTTGGGCGTGCGATTGGGATGAGTGAGTGGACAGTGCTTGCAGGGTTTTCCTTGCTGATCTCTCTGATTTGAGTGACCAGTCTTTGGCCATGATCCAGAACAGGCCACTCATGTTAGGTGGAGAGGTTACAGGTGTCAGGTTCCTTATGCTGTTTAAGATCAATTTAGTCCAAGGAAGTGATTGTTTGATTAGGATCTTAACTATCCATTTCATCTGAAGGGCGATCGCTTCCTGTTTTGGGTCAATGATGCCTACGTCCATTTTGTGTGGTTCTCTGATGACGATTTGCCAGGCCACTTTATTTACGCAGGTGGTTTTGTTGGGGTCTCCGGCCCACAGGAAGCATCTGGCCCTAGCCTTCAAGCTCCTCAAGTCGTCATTGGACGGGGACCATATAGATGTCATGTACCGTAGCGTGGAGAACAATAATGATAAGTGCTCTGCCCAGCAGAGAAGCCTGGGCATTCTTGCAAGGAGCTAGGCGGGTTATTGCTCTGGCAATTAGATTCTCCCCCATCCCTTGCCAAATGTCGTCTTTGTTGATCATGATGCCCAGATACCAAAGTGCTTGGTCGCATGTGTTCCATGACATTGGGATGGATAGGTCCAGGGGTTGGGGGGGAGTGCCTTCTGCCCACCAGCCTTCCGTTTTAGACCAGTTCACCTTCATTTCTTATGCGAGTTGGAAGGCTTCCATAGCTCTGACCAGGGCTTGAAAGGAGGAGTTGTCTGCACGGGTGAGAACCGTGAGGTCATTGGTGAACATCAGGGCCGTGGGTAGGGCGAAGTCGTGGAGGGGACTGTAGTTATGTTCCGTGAGGCGGTCTATGGAGGAACCTTTGCGAAGGAAAGAGACAATGGCTTCCGTGATGAACAGAAAAATTAGGGGCGCAAGAGGGTCACCTTGGCGAACGGATCTCGATATCGGGTAAGTGTCTGACAGTATTCTGTTTATCTGGACTCCGCCCGTGGCATCTCCGTAGAGCACTCTTACGGATTCTTACCCAATCTCTAAAGTTTTGGACGACTCCCATTTTTTCCATACAGCTATGGAGGACGTCCCACTTGACTTGATCATAGGCCTTTTCAAAGTAACAAAACAGGGCCGCAGCCTGCATTCGTTTTTTCTATGATCTTCTTTGCTGCCTCATTCAAGGCCCATCACGTTGCCTAGTATATACCGTTCCGGAATGAATCCTGCTTGGTCAATGTGAAAACATTTGTCCATGAGTTTTACGATCCTGTTGGCTAGTGTTTTTGCTAAGATTTGTAGGGGGTTGTGAGAAGTGCGATCAGTTTGTAGTTTTTTATGTCTTCGTTGTCCCCTTTCTTCGGGATTAGAGAGAGCACGCTAGTGCTTAAAAATCAACCCAGACTTCCCTTTTCCTTTCTGTCATTGATGAAGTTGACGAGGTCGTTCCCCATTATCGACCAGAAGTAGACCCGGAACTCTTTGGATAGGCCATCGATTCCTGGTACCTTGTCATCCCCCATCTGGGATAAGGCTACTTGAAGTTCCCCTAGGGTAATTGGTTTGTCCAGGTCCCCCATTTGCTCCTACGTGATCGTCCTGTTTAGGTACGACATCATGTATTGGCAAACGATGATGTTCGTTGCGGGAGGGGGGAAGGGGTCTTGGACCTGTAGAGGTCGGCGTAGAAGGATCTGGTGATCCTTACCATGTATGTGCCAGCTGATTTTATATTGCCCTGGTCCACTGGGTCTTTCAGCCTCTCGATCGTGTTGTTTGTAGCATTGGCCTTGATTTTAGAGAATAAAAACTTTGTCGTGTATTCGTCGAGGCTGTAGTCGGTCATTCTAACGCGTAGTTGTAAGCCCCTGAGTTCCTATCTTCTCCATTCGTTCAACTCATTCTTGGCGGACGTGAGTAGGTGATGATAGAAGTTGTTAGTGGGATCTGTAGCAAGGTTAGCGTCCGCGAAGGATATGGCAATTTGGAGTTCCTCCTTTCTGATTTTGTGTTTTGTGCTATGCTTCTCAACTAGGCCGAGACAGTCTGGGATAGGTTCGCATAGCTGTCTATAAACCATTGGTGTCTGTTGTGGCGCCTCGTCTAATCTTGTTGCATGAGCAGCCAGTTCCATCCGACAGCCTCTGTCAGCTGGTGTGTGGAGAGCAGGGAGTTGTTTTGTAGAAGCTCTGACCTTTTTCTAACCGGGAGTTGAAGTTCAGGAGCAGGTAGATGGGTTTGGGATCTAGTCCCTTGAAAGCCGCTGTTGGCAGAATTTCGGCCTCCTTGACTGTGCCATGCAAGAGTTTGGAGATCAGGAAAAAGTCGATCCGCCAGAGTGACGTACGATTTGCTCGTTTTCTTTTGATCAGGGAGAATGCTTTCACGCTGAGGTGAAGATTCCGAAACGGGTCGATCAGTTCGAATTCTGTCATGATGTTCCGGATATGGGTTCCTTCTCGTGTGCGGCCCAGCAGCAGGAATCGGGAGATGCGGTCGAGACTGGGGTCCAATGTTGTATCCCAGTCACCTGCTATGATTGTGGGTAGGGGATTCGGGAAGAGCGGTTTAATGCTATCAAAGAACACTAACCATTCGCTCTCTGTGTTGGGCACATACAAGTTCAGGATCCTGAGTTCTTCTCCTTGCCACCCCATTTCGATCCAGGGCCGTCTTCCTTCTGAAGTGTCCCCTTCCCCGTGAACCACGTGTCCTTCGGTCAGATTTTAGAGGTGCGTGGTAGTAGGATTGTGGTCCGGCGCTCAGGCCCTCTTTGTCGGACCACAGTGTGAAGGGACAACCACCCATACTTTTTTCCACTGTCCTCTTGATTCTGGCGTGGTTTGTGAGATGAGATAGGTGGGTTTCTTGTAGTAGGATGATGTCTGGTTTCTGTATCTTCTTGTCTGTGAGGCCCATTCGGAAGTTTTGTCTTCCTATATCAGAATGTTTCCCGAACCATTGACGTTCCAGCTGTGGATCGTCAGCCCCTTGGTTTGCCAGTTCGTTCATATTGTCTCGGTCAGTGTCTTATTGCAGTCCATCGTCTTAAGCTGTTCGGATCACTGGGTTTAGATCCTGACTGACTTTCGATTGATTGACCTTTCTTTTTTTCTTTTTTTCCTGGGGGGGGGGGGGGGGGGGGGGGGGGTTTGGAGTTTGGCGGAGTTCAATTGGGTGGGACATTGGGGTCTCTAATTGGCTGCTGCCATTGTATTTTTTCTATTCTGAGTCTAGGCATCTGCGCATTTTGTTTCTTCCCAGTCCTGTTACATGTTTTTCTGGCCCAGCTTGTTTTGAGGCCTGTGTCCGACTTTTGTGTCAGGCCGATTTCCTTCCAGGCCCTCTTGTTGAGACAGTGAGGGAGGGCCCGGTCCTCAGCGGCGACAGCCCACACGTTGTCGCGCCTGGGCCTGAGTTTTGGTCACACGGCCTCACATCTGGGCCACTGCATCTCAGTGACATCGGACGGCCCAGATGGAGGCGACCCTTGGGTAGTGGCCGGCGCAACAGTGTGTAGGAGAGACCAGCCCAGTAGTTGGTAGGTAGTTCTCACTTCATTATTGTGCCACCAGGCTTCCCAGTTGAGCAGCCCACAGCTAGTGGAGGTGGCAGCATTCAAGTAGAGCAGTGCTGTAGACCACTCCCATGACGCTATATCCTGGATGTCCGTGGCCAGACATAGCTGGCTTTCTTCTTTGGACATCAGCAGCTCAGGACTATGCCTTTCACAGGTACCTATCATCTATATATTGTCACATATCTATGAATTAAAAGAGCGCACTTTGCAAGACAAGCAAAATTTGGCAACAAATCATGCTTTTAGTGTTTTACTGTTTTACATGGTTAACCCCATTAACCACTGGTCGAGGCTAAAGAGTGGCAAACATACGTATCTCGGATTAGCACCAACAGAAAGAATGGAGGACATGACAAGAACCTCAACCTGACTAGGTAGATTGGGTATGTTTTATTTCTTACTTTGTAGCAGTGTGCCCCTGCCAATCACATGGGAGCTGGGGTGCTGCTAATCATAATAATAATATGGATCCACAGTCAAGACTATATTTTTCCTTCCAAAAGGGGGGGGGGGGGAAATCCCTTTCTTTCCAATGAATTAAAAAGACATCCAGGAAAGCTGGTGATCAGCAAAGATATTACTGAAAGCAAAGAAAGACAGGCTCAGAGGACAAGGAGTACATCAAGGATTGATATACATTCATGTCCGTGGAAGTGACAATGCCACCAACCTTGTCTGTTCCTAGAGTGCGGCGATGCACACGAGCATGCCGCCGATAATTCAGTGGTGAAAAGAAGAGCTGGTTACATTTCTCGCACTTGTCGCATCGATCCATGGCTGCTGAAGAAGTCTGCTGTTGAAGAAGCTGCTGCTGATGGGGCTGGCGCAGCTGCATTTTTGATAATGTTGACACCAAAGGCCATCCAGGTAGATCGCCTGTTCCTAGCCCAGTCGCGTCAAACAGAAATAGGATAAGATTATAAACAGGCATAGACACAATCAGAGAGACAAAGACTTCCAGCCAATGCAAGTAGCAGCCCATCTTCAATTAAGCCTCTTGTCACCACATATCCGCCATCTTCGCTTTTTATGGATTCCTTTCAGGGATCCTATAGACCTCATCCAACGGGCAGACATGATGCCAACCGGGCATTCAAAAGACAGCCAGCCAGATGTTCAGGACCAGGTGACCGATTTTCCAATCATCTGTTATCCAGTCATTTCTTAGCCTTTCTCACAGGATTCTTACCAACCATTTGGAGACAACAGCATTGCTGCCTCAATAGCCAATAAGAGCCAATCTGCTGCCCATTGAAGTGCGGCAGTGACACTTTTCCCCTTACGCTTAAGCATTATCATGAGGACTGCATCAACCATGCACAGAACGCAGCAAACCTTCCACAGCAGCTTTAGGTTGTGATTGGAATAACCACTCAACAAGTGTGTTCCCCTGGCCCTCAATATGTCCATCCCCAGTGTGATATGCGAGACACCTTGCACATGCATCACCCACCAAGCGGATAAAGATTCATAATAATATTCATCCTTCAGTGACCTTCATGCATCCACCTTCATGCACAATCATGTCCACTATCACCATTGCAATGGGATCGTACTTCCTCCCACCAAATCCACAATGGCTTGAGCTGAGAATGAAGTAATTCAGTCCTGATCCAGTTCTCATTGTCCTTCACAATGTCCTCATGTCCTCAACCAGCAAAATCATAGTAAAGCTGAGTGCCTGAGAACATAACCAGAGTAATGTAGTAAAATCAGTACGGTCATGACTATGGCATGCAGTGATTCTCTCCTATGTCAACAACCACAGAACTTCAGAACTACTCACTCATGCCAAACAATCAGATGCCCTGTGTTCCACACCCTGCTCCTTAATCTTCTCGCCTGCTCATGCATGGCAGACTTGACTGGTTGTCGAGTTGCACATTGACATAATATTTTTGCCAGTGAATGTCTCAGCCATCAACTTGTAACCTGTCACTCTCTCTACACTCAACTTGGCAAACCACACGGCACATCATCACATGGAAACAGTCCTGATACTGCCGTATCCACAGCTGAAGACTCCAGATTCTCTCAACAAACTTACCACTGCCAAGCGATTGACAAATGAGTCATATGCCGATAATATGCTAATACTCCAAATCTGAGAATGCCACAGCTTATGACTTTCAAGCAACCACTTTGTCATCCCAGCACTGCCACATCATATACTATCCATAAGTGCCACATCATGTAGTGTCCATATGTGCTGCATCATATACTATATAGAAGTTATGCTACAGCTCACGAACCTCTTCCTGTCTTACACCTAATGAAGCACACTTTTACTCCTTGTATGATATCACCTACTCATTTCGCTCACAACATCCCGATCACAGTTTTGCCTCATCTGCACACCTGCCCATTTCTGCACTCCATGAAGGACAGCCCTTGTTCCGCATCCACAAATTTTGCCCTCCACAAACTCATGTCTGCCCACTAAAGACTATCCTTGTCAGGTGTCATTTATTGTCTCCTGAAGTGCACTTAACATCCATGCAAATCTGACAAAGCCGCCTGCCTCGTTTAACCAGTTACATTGAAAACTGTCCCCTCCAGAGTGCCTTGTCAGAGGGTGCTGCACTGAATCCAACACTGAGGTCTTCGACAAAGAAATGAGAGCATCCTGCATCCACAGTCCAGCATAAGCAAGCATGTTCAGAAAGAAAATCATTGCAGACGACGCTGTTACAACAGTTCGTCATTGCCTCAGTCCATTGAGGCTGGAGGCTGAACTATCTCAGTTCGTTGTGACTAAAGGTGCACCAGGCGGTCGATGGGGATTGAACCCACGCCCTCCTGAATGCCATTAGTGTGCCAACCAACTGAGCTAGACAATCTGCTAAAAGAAGCAATTTCGATCATTTTCTTTTTTTTTTTCTTTTTTTCTTTTTTCTTCCTCTTTCCTCTTTTCTCCCCCTTTTATTCCTCGAAGTTCCTAACCTTGACATTTTGATTTTAGATAAAAGATATTTTGGTATTTTGCAGATCATGGATGACGGAGATTTCAAAACAATCAGTCCCCTAATAATTAATTGACAAGAAATCAATCAACCTATCAAGTTATCAACCAATCCATCAATCAATCAATCAACTGACTAATTGATTAATTACTAATTAGCCCTATCATCCCCTGTGTCAAATGAGCAGATCAAGGATTGTTTCTCCATCTGGTCTGCTAAGATACGAAACTGTCGCATGAAAGGCCTTCCACGATTCAGACCCCAAATTCGGGTCTCAGGGTCAGAGGCCCTGGCCAAGAAAGGCCGAGTTGGTCAATTTCAGGAAGGTCACAGTCGGTACCTTAGCAGTCCAGTCCAACAGGCACCCAGCAAACAGTCATGACTCAAACGCCCAAGCAGCAGCAGACCAATGGAAATTCGGGACGGTTCCAGGCCTTGACATTCGAAAGCAGACAGGCCGTGGGGATGTGGTACTGGAATCCATTCAGGCCCCAAGAAGCAGAGGCTGGCACGAGTTCAAGTGCAATCCAAGACTACAAAAGGACTGGCCAGCCTCCTCATTCGGCAGATAGCTCATTCGCATGAAGTGTGGAAGTGCTGATGCACTTGTGCGTCATTGTGAGGGGCAGAGCGCTGAAGCCAGAGTGCTGCGCTAGCTGAGAGAGAGAGAGGGGGAGAGAGAGGAAGAGACAGCGCTGGCAGGGAGAACGCAACCATAGTTGCACCAGTGCAAAGTGTTAGTAGATTAGTAGTAGACTTCAGAAGAGTTAATAGGTATATCAGTGGGTGTATTCAGAGTTGGTCCTTGAGTAGTAGAGAGAGTGTGAGTGCATGCGGATAGGGAGATACGGGGAGGTAGAAGACAGAGAGAAGATCAAGAGAGTAAGAAGAGAGAAGATCTTCGGGAAAGTTACATACCTGAGTGGAGATTCTGGATACTTGGAGTTGCGCCGTTGAGCGCCTGTGACCGAAACTCTTAATTGTTTATATGATAATTTGTTGGAATTCCGAGCTGCGCAACATGGTCTTCATCTCTCTGGTCTCCAGTGTGAATCTCGTGTGATCTCATACATGCATGTGGTGTGATTGTGTGCGCTCGCTGGTGTTGAACTAAGAGGCTTGTTGCAAATGAAAGGCCTTCCACGATTCAGACCCCAAATTCGGATCTCAGGGTCAGATGCCCAGGTCAAGAAAAGGCCGAGTTCGTCAAACTCAGAAAAGTCACAATCAGGTACCTCCGCAGTCTGGTCCAACAGGCACTCAGCAAACAGTCATATCTCAGGGGCAGGAGTCACGTCTCATAATAAAAAGCCACTCAGAGGAGTCACATCCCATGAGTGAAAAGGCAGATTGCTCATTCGCAAGTAGTGTGGAGGTGCTGGTGCACTTGTGCGCTGCTGTGAGGGGCAGAGCGCTGAAGCCAGAGTGCTGCGCTAAGAGAGAGAGAGAGAGAGAGAGAGAGAGAGAGAGAGAGAGAGAGAGAGAGACAGCGCTGGCAGGGAGAAGGCAGTCATAGCTGCGCCTGTGCAGAAGTGTTAGTGCTAGTTGTTAGTAGTAGACTCCAGATGGGTTAGTAGAGTTGACAGTGGGTGTATTCAGAGTAGATCCTTGAGTAGAAGTTAGCGAGTGTGCACACAGGCAGGAAGAGAAGACACAGCAAGGACATAGCTAGAGAGAAGACCAGAAAAGAGAGGAGTTACACAAGAGAGAAGAGCAGAGAGGAAGAGTTACTTACCTGAGAGTTCATGCTGGTTATTGGTTACCTGTGACATGCGGTAATTTGCGCTGGTGACTCGGAACTCTTATTGATCTTGTAATAACTTGTTTGGATTTCATAAGCTGCGCTACCTGGTCTTAATCTCTCTGGTTCTTCAGTGTGAATCTCGTGTGATCTCATACATGCATGTGGTGATGGTGTGCGCTCGACGGTGTTGAACTAAGAGGTTCTTTGCAATGTGATGACCCGTCCATACATGGACTGAAACACACAGCTGATTTCTGAGTTTTGCCCATAGACTGAATGCCCTGCTGAGTTTCCCGGTTGCTACTAAGTCTGTGTGTGCACGCTTGCTGGACTGCATGTCTGTCTGAGTGCTGGATGGCTTGAGTGTGTGTGTGACCATGCCTGTCTGAGTGTTGGTTGGCCTGGGTGTGTGTGTGACCGTGCCTGTCTGAGTGCTGGTTGGCATGAGTATGTGTGTGGCCCGTCAGGGCACTTGCTCGTTCGTTGGGCCCTCAGGGCCGGTACTTACCTGTGGCCGTGACATTGAGGGGTTGCAGCGGGGGAAAACACTCAAGTAGCGGGTAGGCCAGTACCGCACCTGGAAGGGGTAGATGTGCAGGTACCGGAGGCCAAGCAGAAGAAGACAAAAGTGGCATTTTTAGAGGCCCAGTAGTTGTAGGTTAGGTCTAGGCGGATATCAGTCCAACCAGTCTGGGTCTAGGGCCTGTACAGGCAATATCAGAGCCTGCAATGATGTTTCCCTCCGAAAGGGAGGAGGTACCGGTTGCTTGGGAGGCCGAGCGGCCTGGAAGTGACCGCCCAAGAGGCAAAGCAGGCCGCTATATCTTCTGGCCGGGCAGAGAGTCCGGCCTCTTTTTCGGTGTGCAAGTTTGGCGACACACTGGTGGAGCGCTGCTGGGGAGGAAGGAGAAGGACATGAGGGAGGAAGAAGGAAGGAAGGGGGAGGAGCGCCACGGGTACTTACCTGGCTATGGTGGCAGCCATCTTCATCACCTTGGTGGGCGCTGCTGCAGGGAGTCCCCAACTGGGGGGAAGCCACACCAAGAAGCTTCAAGGCAGGGTTGGGCATGGCGGCCTGAGCTATAGCAGCCATAGCTGCTTTGGGTTGTCCTTTGGGCATCTGGGCAAGGCCTAGTAGTCCGCCATAGCCTCGGCCTATGAGAGTGAAGAGTGGGGAGGCGGCCATGGCTATGGTGGACCTCAAGTGATACCTGCAGTAGAAGAGGGACTCGGACATTGATTCTGGATCAGTCATTCAACATTGTATTATTATTTCTTGTATGAATAAGAGAAGGGGGAGATAAGGAGGAGGAGATTGTTGGGCGAAGAAGAAGAGCCTTGTCATTGTCTTTGCTGGTGTACATCTTCTTCTTCTTCTTCTTACTTCTTCTTCTTCTTCTAATCCTCTCTCTCTCCTCTCAAGTTCATTGATTTCTTTCTGCAATTGGATGGCATTGTACTTTCCGGTGGGTGTGTATCTCGAAATTGGCCAGGGTCATAACAGCAATCTGGTATCGGAGCAGTTGCTTGTTACACCCATTGGGCATCGCTGGCAACGATTAAGGCCGGCGAGGAGGGAGATAAGAGAGTCTGTTGAGTGGGGAGAAGACTGACGAAGGGGGGGAAGAAGAAGGCCGAAGAAGAAGTGGCTTGATTACGTACCTGTTGCTGCTGCGTTGGAGCGTTGGAACGGCCATCGAGCTTCATCAACGGAACGTTCATTGGAGAGAAGTGCATTCCCCCCTTTAAACCTGTATTGCTTGCTGACTTGTCTTGGTGATTGGAACCTCCATTATCCTGGTGTCACTGCTGCTGGGCTGCTCTAAGTTGTCACATACTCGGTTGATTACAGTTAGCACCCCGTCCAGTTGTTTAAAAAAAATATATATACGTATATAATTCTGGGGAGGTAATCAGCAGTCAGCAACTGTCAGACCCACTCGTGAGTTAGTAGTTAGTAGTAGGGGTAGGTCTAGGTGGTGAGGAGGTGGAGGTTAGGTACCTGTGCCTTTGATCACTATGGATGACTATCCTATGTTTGCACTTTTGCCCCTGTCAGTGGTTTGGGGACCACTCCTTCGTTTTGTCTTTCCTCTTGGGCTCCAGAGAACCCTCTTTTCACATGCTGTGCTGAGGTCTGGTAAGTCAACACAGGCCCAAACAGCTGAAGAGCAGGCTGAGATAAATCGCCGCCTAGCCGAAAAGAAGAAAGAAAAGGAGGAAAAGATAAAGAAAAAGGAGGAGGAAGTGAAGAAGAAGTTGCAAGAAGAAAAAGAGAAGTTGGAGAAGGAGATGAAGGAGAAGGAAAGGAAGTTGATGGAAGAATTAAAAAAAGCAAAAGAAGAAGAAGAAGAAGAAGAAGAAGATGTGGGAGAAAGTTTGGAAAGAAGGAGAGGTCAACCACGGGCGGAGCAGGCCGCGAGCAGTCGAATGGGTGGCATACAAATGCGGCAGTTGGAGGCAATGGACTGGCTAGGCCAGTTTGGATTTCGGGAGGAGCTGCCAGCAGAGAGTGAGGAAGAGAAGGAAGCTTTCCTCAAACTGTTATCTGAAGTGAAGGATGGGGCAGAGAAACGGTTGTTGGTGGAGGAGAAGAGAGCAAGCTTGCATAATCGCATGCTGCTAGAAAGAAGAAAAGAGTTGGATGAGAAGAAGAAGATGAAAGAGGAGGGAGAGAGATTACGGGTTGCAGGAACAGAAAGGGAAACAAGTTGCAATAGAAGAAAGACTTACCCTCCTCACTGACACCCTCCTCCATACCAATGATTAACTCGTTGTACTTCATCAGACCGCAACCACTTGGAATAACTTTCTGAATAATTCCTCACCGCAGATTGACTTGCGAGTCCGCGATTATGTGGAACAGTTAGATGAAGCTCTCTGCCAGAGACTTAAAGACCCCGCCATGATTAAACAATTGAAGATTGGTGGTGGGGGAGGAGATGGAGGCGATGATGGAGATGGTGGGGATAAGAAAGGGAAGGTTCCCAAGAAGGAAAAAGATAGTGAAGAGGAGGAGTCCAGGCAAAAGATGAAGGTGAAGTTGCCTTGGACTTATACGGGGAGAAAGGAGGAAAGCATCTTCAATTGGGAAGCGACGATGGGAACATACATGTACGCCCAAAACATTCCGTACTGGGACCGGGTATTAATGGCAAGTTCGTGTATGGCAGGGGACGCAACTAGTTTCGCCATCTCTTTAATGAAAGAGACTGGTTGCACAACCATGGTTGAGTTACCTCAACAGATGCGGATTGAAGATTTTTTCAAAGCCCTTAGAGAAAGGTTCGAAGATAAGAACCTGGCCCGTAGGACTGGGTCTTTGATTCTTGACATTAGTGACCGTAAATGGAAGAGTGTGTCAGCCCTCAAGGCCACTATGGATGAACTGTTGCAATGCCCGGATCACGGATTGACACCGACACAAATCATGAATGAACTTCGCTAGAGCGCTCCCTGATCCTCTAAAAACACAACTTTATCCCCGTACTAAGGAGGAAGGAATGACATACAAGAAGTTTAGTAAGATCGTCGTAGATCACGTTGGCTTCCTGCAAGAGACACAATATTGTAATTATTGGAAAGACCTGCAGGCCGGCAAGAAATGGAAAGATCGAACGATCTCAGGTAATATAGCAAGGAAAGACAACCTATTTGGTCACCTTCGAGGAAGGAGGTGTAGAGTCCCTTACTTATGACCAAATAGATTATGGATTAGAAGAACATAGCAATGCTCACTTAGCCCAGGGAGGAGACTATGCCGCTGTTGCAGCCCGCGGGGGAGAGCGACAAGGAGGAAGAGGTTGTGGTAGAGGAAGAGGAGGCCGCGGTCGTGGTGGAGGAAGAGGACCCGCCGCCCAGACGGGTAGTGGCGAAGGAAGCTACCATGTGGGAGGTAGGGGCAATGATCCCTCACAAGGTGGAAGAGGTTCCTACTCCACAGGGGGAAGAGGAAGAGGTAGACGGCCGTACCCGGAACACCCAGGGATAGCTGAAGGCAAACCTTGGTTAGAAATGGGCATAGACGAAAACATTTGGGAACAGCGTCGTAAGGTCGGACAATTCTTCAAATGTGGTGACCCCGACCACATTGTTCCCTTCTGTCCTGATTATAGGCACCCAAAAGGGAACAACTAGTAGAGGTTGCAGTTGCCTCTACAGGGACTCTGGATGCAAGCAAATTGTCATCCTCCCATCCCGAGGTCCCAACGGCAGAGACTGAGACGGTAATCAGCCCCCACCTAGTTAGTTTCCCAAAAATTGCTTGTGCTAGGACTTCTCTAGGTCCTTCCCTCGCAAGCATAGGTGATGAACTGATCACTCGTCGCCACGCTTGGGCTGAAATGAAGAAAAAGAAAGGGTAGTTATCAATTGCAGACGTAGAAGTGAGTGAAGTAAGAGTGGGCGCGTTAATAGATAGTGGGTCAACGTGCAGTTATATTAGCAAGAAAGGGCTGCAGAAGATACGCCTAGGGCTGAAAGTTGAAAAGTTAGACCAGCCTGTCGTAAGCAAGCTAGTCGACAACAGAGAAATGGATGTTGAAGGGGTTAGGGCATACTTCCGGTTCGAGGCAGGGGTTAAGACGGAACGTATTCTGCACTCCCTGACACTCTTAGTGGACGACATTCTCCCTTTTGACATAATTCTAGGGACAGATTGGGGTGACGCCGCGAATGCAGATGTGAAACTGGGTGAGCATGAGTGTTGTTTGCCTAGTCCTGCAGGCGAAAAGAAGAAAATTCGACTTTATCATGCATCCGAAGTAGAAAATAGCCTAACCCTTTGTTGCATGAGTGCCCCCGCGTTCGCCCGGCATGCGGTCAAGAATGACCGCCGACCAAGTATTTGTTGCATATGTGCACCCGGTGAGTGAAGAAAAGAAAGAGGAAGAGTCCATACCCCCCAATGTGCAAAAGTTGCTTGTTGAGTTCGTTCATGTTGGAGAGGCCCCAAGTGGAGTGGTTGAGAGAGAAGCCAAGCACCGGATTCAGCTAGAACCCAGTAGCCGAATTCCCAAGGGCCCTATCTATAGGATGTTTCCAAACGAACCGGATAAGTTGCGAAAGTAATTAGATGAGTTGCTTGAGAAGGGCTAGATTAAACCGAGTTCCTCGCCATTCGGTGCACTAGTCTTGTTTGTGCCAAAGAAGGGCGACGAATTGCGAATGTGCATAAACTATAGGGGACTTAATGCGATAACCGTTAAGAATGCGGAACCGTTACCACGTATAGATGATCTCCTGGATATAGTTTAGGGTTGCAAGTATTTCTCTAAGATTGATTTGAAGTCGGGATACCATCAGATTGAGGCAATGCCCGAGGATCAGCACAAAACGGCTTTCCGAACGAGATAAGGCCACTATGAGTTCGTGGTGATGCCGTTTGGTTTGACTAATGCCCCTTCAACCTTCCAGAGATGTATGAATGAGTTGTTTCGTGATTGGCTTGATAAATTTGTTGTTGCTTATTTAGATAATATACTGATTTTTAGTAAGAGTCTGGAAGAGCATGCGGAGCACCTTCGAATTGTGCTTAATAAATTGCGAGAGGCGAAATTTAAGATTAACTCAAAGAAGTGTGAGTGCGCAAAGCGTCAGGTCCTTTACTTGGGACATATGGTAGATGGTGATGGACGCTAAGATTGCAACCATTAGAGATTGGCCTAAACCACGCACGTTGACGGAACTGCGCTCATTTCTTGGTCTAGCCAACTATTACCGCAAGTTCGTTCGAAACTTTATGGTAATCGCTGCCTCATTGTGCAGTCTGTTAAAGAAAGAAATTGTTTGGAAATGGGATCAAGATTGTACTGTGTCCTTCAAGCGTTTAAAGAAATGTTTGATTAACTACCCGACATTGAAAGTTGCAAACCCATTTGTGCCTTTTATTGTAACCACTGACGCTAGTCAATACGAGATTGGTATTGTACTCCAGCAAGATGATGGAAATGGGTACAGACCTATCGAGTTTATGTCCTGTAGACTGACTAGCGAAAAAGGTCGCCGCTTCTACCTATGAGAGAG